TGCCATTTTGCCTCTTAGTGGGCATGCTTAAGCCCACTTGCCCAATTCTTGATCTTATCAAGAATTGACAGAATCTTATCAAGAATCTTATAAGATCCCAGTTCTCGAGATCTTATCAGGAAGCTGCTGATTACCAGTTTCAGGTGTTTCTGTCCATCGGGAGACTGCCTTTCCCTGGCACTTACCCTTTTTATAGATGTGTTTCAATTTAGTGTCATTTTCCCTCTACCCAAAAAGCTTTCTTTAATATTTTTGTAGCCTTTGCATATGCCATTGCTTCTGCTTGAAAAATGCTCTTCCCCACTACCTGCATGGTCAGTTCCCTCAATCCTTTATGTAGTGTGCTCGAATGTCGCAGTCTATATGGGGTCCTTTAACCATCTTTCGATATTGCAATGCTCTGTCCCCGTGACTCTCTCTGTAACCCTGCCTTACTTTATTTTTCTTACAACACTTAATATCTGATCTGTCTGGTAGTTTGGTAGTTTCCCCGTCATTAGAATGTAAGCTCCATGAGGATGGAATTTTATTCATATTTTTTTTCCACCCATATGACTATACACCACTTCCTAGTTATGTTACCAGCTGAACGTACCCCAGTCACACAGCACCAAAGTATGTAAGAGGCGGCGAATCCATACGGATCTGCAGCAACCTCAATTCTTGTCTCCTCAGAAGAAAGAATCCAAACGAAGAGCAGAGTGAGAGACTGAGGCAAGTTTAGAGAAGGAGTGAAAATTTTTTAAAAACTCCTCCCCTGATTCTTCCCTTGGGGTGGGCTGTGCACATGCGCAGTGGCCCAGTAGCGCTGGGGAGGGGCCGCATGCGTGGTGCGTTTACTGGAGTTGCAGGCATGCTCACATGAGGCGTTCTTCCTTTACCAGTCCAAATGTTATACCAGTTAAACTCCGCCATTTTGCCTTTTAGTGTTCATGCTTGAGCCCGCTTACCCGGCTCCTGAGATCTCATCGGGAACTGCTGATCAGCAATTGCAGGTGTTTCTGTGTATTGAGAGACTGCCTTTCCCTGGCATTGGCTGTGACCAATTATTTTAGAGAGATAGCTTAACAACTACCTCACCATCACTTGTTGGTTGCCTGACATTCCTGACTGGTGAGGGAGAGAGAGAGGGGGTCAGGAAACTCTTCTGCCCTGTTCCTGTCTGACTAGCTACCTGCTGTAACAATTATACTATTACTAGTGATAAACCTATCACTTGTGCCTATGACAGGGCCTTGCACAAGGTAGATCACCAATGATTATGGTTGGATTAATAAACAAGGCCTCTCTTATGCCCCCAAGAATAGCAGAGACGCTCTTCTCACCTCTTATTCGGAAGCTACTCTCAATTATATATAAGATGGTAAGATTAGTCAACTCACTCTCATCAGGTGGTTAACGTGCTAGTGGTTAATCCAATCCAGTTACTTGTTCCAATAATTAGACCCATGCTGGATGTGTTCCTTCAGCTCAGCCCTGCCTGCTCTGAAACTATTTCGGAACCAGTGGCTTTGGTTGGGCACTGGAAATACATAAAGAAGAAGGCATACATGCTGTCTCAGGGTACTTGTGGGTCTCTAGCCAGGAGTCAGACGACATCACCACCATCACAAGCTGGTGATGCCAGAGAGGTGTGAATGGAGAACAGAGTTGAAATTCATATGGAAGTGACCAGTGGAGTTATCAGGGACATTTTAAAAAGAAAATAACAAGTAAACTGGGTTTTGACAAAAAATAAAATAGGGATTTATTTTCTGCATGTGAGTACATATCTAAAGTAGAAAAGTATAACAGTTCAAAAAAAAAAATACAGTTATGTGGTTCAGGTTAATGCCCACAGGCCGGAAGAAGGCTCAGAGCCTTCTCTGTGAGTGTAAAGTTTATCCAAGTCACCTTGGACACCATCACATTCTCTGCTTAAGCAAAGCTGCTTGTCAGAGGAGTTTCTGCATATTCTGAATATTCAGGGACTCTCCTGGCCCTGCAGGTGCCTCAGGAAGCCCTAGAGAGGAAACACATCCTCATTGGTGAAAGGATCTCACGTGGCTCTTGCCAAGGGTGAGCAGTGTAGAGGGAGCATAATAAACTCTCTTAGACAACATCTGATTTCCAACAGCTGTCCCACTTCCGAGGCTTCGTGCTTTCAGTGCAGCCACCGCCAATGCAATATCCTCCGGTTTAAGGTTAGGTACCAGAAATACTTCTGCCAGAAATTCTTGATGTAATCAAAATGGGATTTTCATGGACTTGCACAATTTTAGGATCTGGGAGAAGATCCTCACCCAGGCCTGCTTTGAGGCTGGCTCTCAGTGTGTCCCACAGTGAAATAACCCGACATCTGACTTTGAAGCCAGGTTCTTGGGTCAGTTCTTACCTTTTTGTGTGTATCAAAGAACTCCTCCAAATGCTTCCTTTCCCCACCCATCTGTCCCCACAGACATGTACCCCAATGCCCTTAACTTGTTCTTAAATGAGTAAACAAAGCTTCAGTAACATATAAACATGATTTATGAAAACAAATCTCTCCCCAAATCTGCTTAAAGAAGCAGTGTCACATAACTGTAAGCAAAGATGAAAGACCACGATTAACAGGGTCCACATCTGTTTGGGGGAGGACGCCACTTGAGTCTCTGTCAGCCTTTACCTCAAAGAATGTGTACTCTAGGTCGATAATGAAACTTGCGGCCCATCTGTCTTCTGGTGTGCCCTGTGCTGTGCTGAGAACTTCTCATCCACTGGATCTCATGGAGGTTCACAGTCATGTGAAGAGGGGGTCTTGTCTTCACCTGCATCTTGCAGGTGAGTGGACAGAGATGCGGAAAGCATGAGAGCTAGTGCAGAGAAGAGCTGGGGCACCAGCAGTAGGACTGGAGGCAGGACAATGTCTTAGATTACTACCTGGATGGACATAGATGAAGATTTAAAAAACAACAACAACAACAACAAAACCTGGACCTGATTTATAAAATTGAGATGTCTCCATTGATCCAGTTGCTTGCATCATGTGTTAATTCTCTGCTGTTCTCTTTCTCATGTAAGCACCACCTGTCTTCCACATTATGATATGAAGCTGAAGATCCACCCCACTAGGTCAATGGGGACACTAATTGGGGAATATTTGAGGTGCAGAGAGGAGGAAGATGCTACATCCTGTGAACCTCAGTAAGGGGGATGCCTCTGTGTGTAGGGATGTCAAGGCCCTGGCCCTGTGTCATCCCCAGACAAGCCCTGTATCACCCTGGGAGCTCTGCAAGGACAGAATCTGCGTGACACTTTGGGAACTTCTAGGATGCTAATCAGAGGTCTTCTCTTCTGAGTCCTCAAACAAATGAGAAGTAGACCCTAGGGTCAAGGATGGATGAAAATATCAGCATGGTGGTTTGCAGAGCTAGATTGGATCTGCAGAGAGCCCAAGGCTCCCTGTCTTCCTCTGCCTAGTCTCCAGCCACTGAGTCCAGGCAGCTGCGTGCCCACTGTTTCTGGGGGCAGAGACAGAACCGGGCCGTAGACTTGCTGTGGGGAGGGATATCTGCCATACGGAAGCAGAAGCCAAAAGCATCTTTCCCCTGTGGTCCGTAAAGGAAAAATTGAGGAAGACCACAGGGAATAGCAAATCTTTCATAGCTTAAGACACCCATAGACATCAGACTCTTTTCACCCTTCCCAGCAGCTGTCCTTCAGGAAAGAGGAAATGGAGTGGGAATTTTTCCCCCAATACTTTCAGGGCAGAAGTCATCATTTGCTACTATCTGAATGTTTGTGTTTTTCCCAAATTCCTATAAGGAAATTCACCCCCAAGGTGTTGGCCTTAGGAGGTGGAGCCTTTGGAAGGTGATTAAGTCATGGAGATGGAGTCCTTATGCATAGGATTAGTGTTTTTATAAAAGAGGCCCAAGAGAGATCTCTTTTTCTTTTCCACCATGTGAGAACACAACAAGCAGTCACCATCTATGAACCAGAAAACTGATTCGCCAGACACTGAATCTGCCAGCACCTTGGTCTTGGACTTCCCAGCCTCCAGAAATGTAACAAATAAATGCCTGTCATTTGTGGGCCACTCAGTCTATAGTATTTGGTTAAAGCAGCCTTAATGGACCAAAACACCATTCCTGTGCCCATCAGCAGCATGAAGAATAGGAAATGATGTCTTCCCACTGTAGGTGTCACTGTTGACCTCCATCACACCTTCTTGCATCCCCACCCTTGCTGTGGCCTCATCGCGGGTGGCATATGCTTCCCTGACTCTGGGCTCTGAGGTTGGCTATATGATTTACTTTTAGCCAATGGAATGTAGATAGAGACAGGAGGGTGCCAATTTTGGATGAGGCATTTAGAAGCCCTTGGTTTTCAGTAGACCTTCTCATGCCTCTAATATCACCGTGCAGAGAACATGCCCCAGTTACCTCTCTGGTCCAAAAAGTGTGAGAGACAGGTGGAAAGAGACATGGTAGACGCCCTAACAATCCCAGATGCAGAGCTGCTTAGTCGAGACCATTCTAGATCATCCAAGTCCTAGCCAACTCATAGACACCCAGGTGGTAATGCAGGATTGCTGCTTAAGTCCACAAGTTTTGGGGCTGTCTGTTATGCAGCAACAACTAACTCATACACTTACCTTTCGTATTTATTTTGGAATCCCCCAGGCCTAGCAAAAGTCCCAGAATAGTGTAGGTGCTCAAAAAGTATTCATTATTTGAATGAATGAATGAAAACTCCTTTTTGTAAACCAGCTCATCATAATGTCTCACTAATGGCTGCCTTACATTGCAGTATTTATCTCTGTGATTTTGGAGGGATAATTTAAAAAAAAAAAAAAAAAACAAGGCAAGACAGTAACCTCTCTTGATATGAGCTGCCAAGCATTTAAAGTCCTAGGAGTCAGAGGTCACCTGGCTGTCTTCAACATCACCTGCAGGCAGCTGGTGCATCACACACTATGGTGTGATGAAGCCAGCCTCCTTCACCCCCCTCTAAACTCCGACGGGAAGAAATGACCCAACATGGCCATGCATTTATCTGGAGTCAATGCTGATTCTGACTGCATGACCACCTTTACCCTCAGGCATGTGAGTCCCATCAGAGAGGTTGCTAGTATGATATCAGATCCACTTCTCTTCCTATTTTTCAGAGGAAATGTTCCAACACATCCGAGGAAACACATGCCTTCCCAGACTGGCCTGATGCTGTTACCCAGGAGCTGCATTCTGGAAGGTGGACCATCAGGTGGAAGAAGTATTCTTCAGAGAGCTGCCTTCCCAAGGGAATGGTGACAGCTTGCGCTTGCCGGGGAGTCCTGCTGCCTTCCGAGGTGTGAAGGGAAGGCATGCACTGTGCATATGCTGTACCATACAGTTTTGCCTACAACTGCTTGTAGCTTCATTGTAGCTGTGAATGCTCTGTTCCTCTCCTTTTCACCCCTGAAGATTCGCGAACATGCAGGATTGAGCTGTGCGAGGCATAGCATTCCCCACATGGTAGGCGAAGGAGGATGTGGGTCTGACGGCTCTACCGCCGCCCACCCGGGTGAATGGACATGTGTTCCGGGGTATCAGAGCTTGCGGCTGACCAGCCGACGTGTCCACAGGCAGCCCTCCCACTGGCTGTGTCGACATTTTGGGTTTCATTGAAGGATTTTACTGGTACAGACTTTACAAAGGCAAAATTGTTTCTCAAGGAAGTGGGCATGAAAGATCTCAAATCAGAGGCTGCTAAAAATGAGAGGCCATCAGTTGCAGAAGAGCAAGCACAGATTAATGACCTATCTATGTCCTACACGGTTTTAGGACTGCGCCTAGATGGGCTTAAAGACCCTAGCCTAAAAACTATAAATGTGCTTCCGTCTTTGCCCTGTAGGACAAGAAAGCCTTACAGACTTGCTTCTAACTGTGAGAGGAGGAGAGGCCGGGAAGGGAGAGGGAGAAGAGGAGGAGAACAGGAGACGAGAAGGAGGGGAGAGGGAGGGGAGGAGGAGAGAGTCTTGTCAAAATCTTTTTAGTGCACAAAACTAATTTTGTTCATCTTGGATTTGGTGAGCTGGATAATATTCTGCGCACAGCTCCTAAATGAATTATTAAATGTCAACTCAAGATGGCTTAACTAAAATACTCAATTTAATAACCAAAAGTATCGAAGGTAACAACAACAATTTTGCAGGTGATTGTAGAGTTGTCAAGTCAAACCATTATAGACAAGCATTTGGGGTTTTCACATAATCTCCTTCCACATCTCATCTTCTGTCACTAAATACCCACTCTGGTGAGCATATTCCATTTCAATAAAGATCATCCCTTCGGTGCCAGCTTCTTTTTATTCAGATTGAGCCAGAAAACCTTTTTTTTTTTCTAAAATATAAAGCTAAACAAGATCTCAGTCACAACCACCAAATCTTTATTAATGCATTCCTTGTGCTACTTCTGAATATTAATAAAAATTAATAATTAATTTTGCCTTTGGCATTGCAAGATATACTAGTTTTAATTAGTGTACTGTACTCCTATACAATTAAAAAATAATTGATGTCCACGCTTATTGGCGGTGTCTGTGATCTTCCTTTCTGTTGTTGTCAACAAATGCCTTAAAAAACAAGTTCAAGAATGTTGTGCTGTCCACTTGATTTACACACCCAAAGTAACAGGCAAATCTTTTATGATGAAACAGAACAGTTTTCTGTTTAAATTATACACAAGTATATTAACTAGAAAGAGAAAATTAAAAGCTGATGGCTACAAGGAATAATGGAAAGTCTATAAAAATGTTTTATCTATCAACAAATTTGCCTGGAAAATATCAATGGTTGGCACCATCTCTCGGCTGAAACATGGAGAGGCCATCTTGGATCTGTTATGTCAATTCCATCAAGCATTTAATTCTGACGTCCTCCTTAATCAGCTTCAGTTATTTAAATTCAGCATATCATGTTACTGTTATACTACATCATTTTAATTGTGCCATGAACTACTTTATTATAGAATGCTAAAGTATTTCCCTGTGCCTCCTTCTTCCTCTTTCTGAACAATGCCGACTGTAGAGAGACAGCCCATGGTGAAAGGAGGGAAATCGCTTCCTTTGAAAATATTTGTGTCAAGAATCTTGCATAGAGAGAGGGTGGTGGTTGTTTTAGCAAGAAATAATTCAAATCCCACAGCACATGTTTCTTAGTTTTCTTTCTCTGAGCCAGGATTTTTATTTTTTATGAAATCTCCATTGAACAACTACAAATGTATCTGTAATACCAAGAGGTAATAGGCTAAGAGGAAAGAGACTTAGGAAAACACACGGCAAGGAAGAAAGAGTCAATGTGAGATGCGGATTTCACACTTTACCCTGGACTCACTGGTTAATAAAGATGTTTAAGGCAGAAAAATCACAAATTGATGCAAATTTTTATCATATTCATGATCTTAATAGCAATTTTGTTTTTTTAAAAAATCTACTCTACCAAAATATCTGTCCTAAAAAATGTAATCTTTCGTTTGTTTTTCATAATAGAATTGGCTTCAGAGAATTTATCACAATCTAAAATCATCTTGGCCATGTATCTGTTTACTTGTTCATAATCTGCATCTCCTCCTAGGTCCAAGTGCATGAGCCCCGGTGCCTGACTGTTCCCTTCACAGCTGCACTCACAGTGCCAAGCACAAGCTCTAGCAGAGCACTGGCATTTCACAAACATCCGTGGAATTAATGTATTAATTCTGACTCAAAATACGTTTTTATTCTTCCCCTTTCTAGAGTCTTCTAAATTTTCTTTTCCCATGCCCATCAAAATGTGAATGGATTAACCAGCTGTGGTCTAACTGGAGAATGTCCATTGCTCAGTGATAAAAAAAAAAATAAGCCATGAATACACACAATACCACGTATGAGTCTCAAAACAATGGGTTGAGCCATACAAGCCAGCTTCCAAAGAGTCTACACTGTAGGATCGAATGCATATGGAGTTGCAGAGCAGGGAAGACTAAGCTGTGGTGAGAGAAATCAGAACAGAGCACACTTTCTTCTCAAGAGAATCTCTCCAAAAAGAGGCATGAGGGAACATTCTGGGGTCATGGAAAAGTCATAGAACTTGATCAGGCTGATGTTTGCATGGATATTATACGTGAAACTATACACCTAAGAGCTGTGCATGCATCCTATGTTAATTACATCTTAATTTTTAAAATCTTAGTAACACACATTTTTTTTTTTTTTTGTAGTTCATTGGCAATGGAAGGAAGAAATGCAGAATATGAATACGGTTAAGAGGCCCTGGAATTCCTGTTTCCATATCACTACCTCCCTCCCTCCACAGATTCAGGGAACAGTGCTACTAAGCAGCAGAGTTGACAGATGTTCTTACAAACCCCCCCTCCGCCCTGATGCATTTTCCTACCTGGCTTCATCCCGCCCCCAGAGGCTGTAACAGGTCTCTCTCACGCACAGGTGATGAAGGCAGGGGTTCCTTCATTGCAAGCACGCCGTCTTGGATGCAGGGAAGCAACCAGCTCCTCTGCCAGAAGCTGTGAATAACACTCTTAACAGTCCATGCAAATGCTGTGGTCTATGTCTGCATGCCCAGCTGGTCTGCTGATCAATTTTTACTTCTCAAATTGGGTCAGTGAAAAAGGACAGCGCTTTCTGTTCCCGCGATCTAAATTCTCAATGTGATCTAAATTCTATTAACACTGGGGAACCTGAAAATTCCAAAGCAAGCCTTTAGCTTCACTGGGACCACCTTTCAGAAAGGCCCATTGACCTATTTTCTTTTTAAACCTTCCCTTTCTTTTAATTAAAAGGCTCAAATTTCCTGGATGTTAATCAAAGATTAGCTTGAGAATTACAATGCTGTGCATCACTCAGAAAAAGAACCAAGTCGAATGGTGAACCACACTCCCCTCCTAATCAGTCCCAAACCACCTCGAAAGGGCCTCCTATGCAACTTCCTCATGTCTGTGAGAGGACCCAAGTGCGAAGGCTTCCTGCTGTCATGCTCCGATGGGGAGATGAGCTGTGGAGCTGGGGTAGCCTTTGGGGATTCTCTGTTGACTTCCTGTAAGAATTGGATCTTCTCCTCTGACTGCACCTGAGAAGTCCTGATTTTCTCATCCTGATTTTGCTTCTCTTTTCCTTTACTCATGGGTGATGGGTCCATATTCGACCAAAGGGTCTAGGCATCGCAGCTGGCCTTGAGCTTTCGAGTCCACTGTTTTCGATTGGCTCCTGGGGTGCATTGGAGACCTGAGGGTATCTGAACTGCAAAAGTGAGTTCCACACCTGGCACGAACGCTCTTGGTCTGTCCAGAGCTGTCCCTTCCACAAATCTCTGTCTGTTGTTGTCCCTCAGGTTCACCTAGGAGAGCCTAGGTCATGCCTTAAGGACATTGAATGGCAAACAACACAGCCTCCCTGGGCAGTGCAGGCCTCTAAGAATGACTGTCATTGCATGCAACGTGGGGACATTATCAGGGAGGAGACGAGATGCTGCCTCCAGCCAGAGGCAGAGGATGTCAGGGACAGCGTGTCCCGCAAGAGTGAAACTCAGGCTGCATCCTCAAGGGAGGGATGATTTCAGGTGAAGGAGGATGTTCTGGGCTCCGCAGGCAAAGGAATGTTGTCTGATGAAAGAATAAGAGCTGCTTTCTGAAAAGCAGTTTTTCCCTGAAATTCAGACGTTCCCACGCTGGCTTCACGTGTGTTGCCATCTCGCATCCCCTCTGAGCACAAATGGCCTCCCCAAAGCTTGCTGCAGTCAGGGCAGACAGGAGGGACACGCGGAGAGCTGTGGGTGGCACCAGCCACTGTGCAGATCAGGGAAGAGCGTCAGAAGGTTCCACTGCGCGTCTCAGGTCTGCCCGCTGCTCTCTGTCTTTGTGCCCCATCTGTAAGTGGGGCCTGTGGGGTTGGACTCAGGGAGTTGTTGTGAAGGCTAATGAGGCCCATTGCACCCTGTCCCTTAACATGTTGTAAAGGCTGAATGTTTGATAGCTATTATTAATCGTTTTGTAGGTTAGAATCAGAGGATAATAATTTTTGCCTTAAATAAAAAGCCACAAAAGGGTGACTTTTAAAGAACAAGAAACAAGCACTTTGGGAGGCGGAGATGGGTGGATCACTTGAGGTCAGTAGATCAAGATCAGGCTGAGCAACATGGTGAAACCCGGTCTCTAATAAAAATACAAAAAAATTTAGCTCGCCGTAGTGGCGCACACCTGTGATCCGAGCTACTTGGGAGGCTGAGGCAGGAGAATCAGTTGAACCTGGGAGGCGAAGGTTGCAGTGAGCCAAGATCACACCATTGCACTGCAGCCTTGGCAACGAGAGCGAAACTCCATCTCAATAAATAAATTAATAATTATTATTATAATAAAAAATAAGAAACAACAAAAAGTCACAGAATCATATACCCAGGCCACTCCAGTCCCTGTTTTCTTTTCTGTCACGCAGCCCCATCCTCAGTCAGCTCTGCCTTATCCCGACCGCTTAGTCTCACCTGCCCTCTCTCAGAATGCAGTGTCCTCTGCTGAGCCCATTTCAGTCAAAGTCACCTTGAAAGAAGTTTGTTTTAAATGGACCCGAGACCATGCCCCAACTGCAATACTGTTCCCACCACAGTGTAGTTTAGTGCATGCCCTTGGAGGCTTCAGCTTTCACTGCTCGCTCTACTCTCATGTCACCAGGGGCGAGGTTGGCCTTCTGGAGTCTACAGCTCTATGTGTCCCCAGCAGGGTGGAGCTTATTTAGCAATGGCATCAGGCTGCAATGTAGGCTGAAACACACATACCGCACACTGTGTGTGTGAAGTGCTTTCACACGCATTAATTAGTATGTGAGCTCTCCTCTGCCCTGGAGATGAAGGCTTTTTTTTATGAATATACCTTATTTTACTTTATTTGGTAATAAATTCTTTAAGACTGGGGACTTGGTCTC